TAGTCGCTGCAAAAAAAAGCTTCTGCATGCCCTCTTCCCCACTCCCCCTTATCCTTGGGGCTGTTGTTAAGTCAGCACTAGCCCTCTGACAGCAGCACACAAGGCTACCACCTGGTAGCAGGGAGCAGCAGTGGTTGCCACCCCAGCAGGGAGCCCCAGCAGGATGCTGCTTCCCCAGATGTGGCCATGCACCTGATTTTTGTGTCCCTTATGTCCTGGATCCTGGGCCCCACTCCGCCAGTTATTTTAACTGATTTATCGGCATCCTGTCACCCAATCACTTGGGGAAGGTTGGGGGGCAAGGCTTTTAGACAAAGATACTGCTTTCTTCAAGATCTAGCTTAAAAGGGAGAAATAAATGTTTGACAAAATTATTCTCACCCTGTTTCTTTGGAAGGGACTAAATTTTTCAAGTGATGAGTATCTCTCATTGTACTTCAGTGCGCTGAGTTTGGTCCTTAAGACTTTGCATATAAAATATGGGTAAAAATCTTGCTTATGCTTGGTAGGTACTTTCCAGGTGATTAAGAGAAAATTAAATATTTTTTTTTCATTCTTGGTGGGGTCATTGCAGTTAGACTGGTAGGTAAATATCATACAGAGGTTGGTATGCTTTAATAGGCATGTTACCTAAGTGCATCCATATGAATAGTGCTTCTGAAAGATCAGATTTTTCACATGGAGATATGTCATTTTGGGAAGAGCTTTTTTCAATATCCAAGGAAAGCAGGTGGGAAGATACAGATAGCTGTAACGTTAAAGCCATTGGAAACAATTGTGTGAACACCTCTATACAGAGATATAAAAATAAAATTTGGCATTTGAGTTAAAATTAATAAATAAAAATTACAGTGCTTGTATAGGAAGTATATTTCATGTAAGTAAAATCTAGTCTTTTACTTAGACATCTGTTGGTGATGGATCCCATGAGTTCATTAAGGAAAATAAAAGGAAAATTTATTTAAGAGATCTGTGTTTTTGTTGACTCTTACCATGTGTTTGTGCTTTGTCTGTGGTTCTACAACAGCATTTTGGTTGCCTTTTCTTGGCTTTTTGTAATAGATATTTTAGAAGAACTTTGAGTAGAGCTTCCTGTCTTTGTGCAGATACAGTTCTGGGAAAATAGTATTTGTTTGAAGAAGCTTCTTTCTTCACAAGTGTCTCCAATACAGGTGTTTGTGGTAGAAGGCTTACCCTGGTGTATGTATGAGACACATACACATAGACATATGCATGGATAATAGGTATATACTTTTAACTCATAATAAAATAAATGAGAACTTGCTAATTTCTATCTTGTTTTCATGTTGCTGTAGGTAAACGTTATATTGTGTTTTCATGAAATGTTACATGAAATGAAACGTGCGAGTTCTATTTAATACTGATTCTGTGTCAGCTGTAGATGGTAGAAAATAGCTTGGAGAAAGAACATGATTCAGAAGTAGGAGAGGTTCCTGTATTTATAACCCAAGGCTGAGAGGTTTTGTTCAGTTTCATCATGCTATTTAAAAGTAGGTATTTTAATCTTTTTTCTTAGCTTGCTTGTTTGTTTTTTTGCAATAAGAAATGGAGACTGCTACTTCCCTCAATAGAGGTTAAGGAAATAGTTGTTCTGTTACCTCTCCTAGATCAAAAGGTTGAAAATCAACAGGAAAAGAAAGCAAGTAAGTTTTTACTGTGATACAAAGTTGACCTCTATTACTACACTCTGAGTGTACATAAAATTCACCTGAAGAAGAGTATCTGTTAGTTAAATGTAGATTGAAGAACCTTGAGAACACTTCTTGGTTTTCTCTGTAAATTTTAAGAGGTGTTGATGGTGCTGCCCACCTTGGTTTAAACCCTGAGGTGCCTTATATTATGGAAAAGGTTTGGGGAGGGTTCTGTTGCAAACAGCAGTGCTCTGATCTAATTCCTCAGTGTTATGAAATTAGTAGCCATCATAGAGGTAGAAATGCAATACAGCAGAAAATCACCCAAGTTGGTCATGTACCATGGGAGCTTCTGGTGACACAGGAATTGCTCCAAGAGCTGATGGGGTTCCATGTAGGAGTTAGACATAAGGTCAGCAAGCTCTTTGCCAGTCATGCAGTGCAGATTGCAAGTGAGGAGCGTTACTTTCCTAAAATTTCAGTATCTGGATCAGTTAAGACCTAGAACCTGCAAATGTCCTGCAGGATTTTTGAATTTTCTGTAGGGAGTGGGCTACATTTGGGAAATGCCTGGAAAAAACACTACCTTTGTGCAGCAGGAAGAATAAATCTGGCATCATCATTCAGCAAGGATTAGTCAAAATTTCATTCCAGTATCCCTGCTCCATGTTTAAATCTCCAGCTAAGGTGCTGTCCAGAATGGGCACACATCATGTAAGATTTAATGAGAACCCAGACCTAGCTGGAATAATTGAGGATTGTTTTTTTATTAAGCTAGATGTAGGAAAGCAACTCTGCTAAATTCATTGCAGGAGTTGACTCACACCCCATCTTGAGAGTGTTTGACTCAACATATGCCTAGTCATTTATCTAATGTTGATGTCAATGATTTGTTGGGTTTTGATACAGTGTTTCCCAGTTTTCTGTTTGTTTCCTTCCTGTAGTGGCTGTGTACCCAAAACATTTTGACATTTTTTTGTATGAATTATGTCTGGCTGTGCCAGAAATTTAGTCAAGTCTAAAGTCTTAGGTTTTGTAAGTCATTTTGCAAGGTTTCTCCACTTAGGATTTGGGTAATGCGTTATTTCCCTTTACCTTTTTTCTTGCCTGAGGATTTAAGAACAGACCAATCTCACCTTCTTTGGAGCAAGTCATGTTGAGTCAAACCTATATCTCTAAGTGGTACTTGACAGATTTGTCTGCCTGAGAACGTTGTTTAAAAACTGTTTTTTTGCACTAAGGCTTCCTTTTTGCCACCTCTTGATTTTATGTTTGATTTGCAAATTTGTTTATTTCAAATCTTCCATGTTTGCTTTAAATTATTTCTCCTGCTAGTAATAAGATTGAAGTGCAAAATTTTTAAGCACTTTAAATAAAACCAATACTTCAGTTCTTACTGGAGACTGGAGATCTTACTTCTTCTTACTGGACTTTGCTGGAGATTGGGGAGGGGGGTGTGTGGAATTTCTTAGCAGGGAGAAAAATGTTGTCAAAAGCAATCTTTTGATTTGATAATGAAAAAGAAAAGCAAATTACTCACTTGAGTTAGGGATACAAAAATAATATATGTTTGAGGGGGTGATACAATTTCTTTTTTTCTTGCGTTTTGCAACCTGATCTGTGCTGAGCTGCTCAGTAAGTATTGATTTGCACATAGCCTCGGGATGTACACGTGTCAGGAGCAATTCACTAAGGGTCATTTCTTCTCCTGTCCCCATTGTTAGGGCTGTAGCACTGTTTCCTTTTTTTAAAACAAGCAAACAAAAAAAAGCCAAAGAAAAAAACAAAACCCAAAACAACAACAAAAAACCAAAACTATTTGAGTTCTCCAGGTTTCAGCTTAAGTTGCTTCGCATCAATTAGTACAAGATGGTGAAAGCTGACAGAAAGCAGAAATGCAACTGATGAGGGGTGTAAGACGTTGAGAAAGTGAAATTAAACGCTGTGGGAAGGTTTGCCTTTAGGCAGAAGGTTGAGGAGGCAGGTTTTTGAGTAGCTATATTTTGTGTCAGGATCCATTCTTTCACATTGTCAAATTATTGCTGTGCCTATTTATGGGTGCACATAACAAGGCAGAAGAGGTTTTGAATCACTGAGCTTGTTCTTTCTCTCCTTAGTGCACATTTTGTGTGTTGTCATCTGTGATCTTTTAGTTTTTCATTGTTTATTTACACTGCCACTTCATGAATTCTTTAAATCATTGCTTATCTAAAGGGGAGTCTGGACAGAATTACTCTTGCAGCTTTAAGTCTTGATGACAGGAGGAGAGAAAAAGAGAGCTTTTGTCCCCTAGAGAAATGCAGGAACTGTGGCCATTTAGGATTGGACAGACGTGGTGGCTTTGAGGGGAATGCTGTGATGGAAGTGCTGCCTTTTATATTATATCCTATCTGTTGGGGATATAATACATATTATTATAATATATATTATTTGAAATGTTTTCCAACAGACTAGGATGTCTATCTGCTGTTAGCAGATGGGTTGTTGTTTTGAGGGGTGGCAGAAGCATGTGTGGAAATGTAAGGTAGCATAGACTTTTTCCTTATTTTGAGAACTTGTGTTCAGATTTTCCATGGGACAGAAAAGGATAGAGTTTTTCTGTACTAATATAAGCCAACGAAGTATGATGGAGAACAGACTGGTCGTGTTTCCCTTTGCTCATTCCCTGTGGAAAACCTTGATTGCCATTTCCTCAAAGATGATAATGTCTTGCATTCATGCTTTAAAATAATTTTCCACTTGATTTTCCTGCCTTTCATCAGAGGCAGGTACTGGAGGTAGGGAGGGGCCCATTAAATCTCTCTCTGTAAGTTTCTTTAAAGTCATGTTAGAGTAGGGCAGAGAGAGATGGTCTGAGGTGAGGAATTGTGGTTTTAAGGGAGTGAAGCTTGATTTCAAAGTGGTACCTTTAGTCAAAAGGTTTTTTAGTTCCCTTTCCCTTCATTCTGATTTAAAAAACCCTACACAAATACTCTTGCTGTTACTGAAAGATTTGATATAGCTGGAATAGATTGTCTTAAGAAAAAGAGAAGTTTTCTTAAAAAGAAACAGAACTTATGGTTAATTGCAAATACCTCATAATTGTAGGTATGATCCTCTCGAAGCAGAGTATGTAAGCACTTAAATGTCGGTATATACCTGTATGTTCAGTATGCATGTTGGAATTTGCCTTTTGCCAACTATTTTGATAGTAAATGTGGCTCATTTGAATTTTTACAGAACTGGGTGTGAGCTTGGTTGAAGCTTGTTTACTTAATAGAATAAGTGCTCGAGAATATTTTGGAATTGGACTTTAACCCATTTAGTATGGGACTTTATCGCATTCTAACAGGAATCTCTTTGCATTTCTTAGTGGTTGACTTGACATTCATAGTCCCTGTTTTGGTAAGGTGACAATGGAGAAAATAAAGGACACCCTAAACTGGTATTTTGGAAGTGCAGAAGTAGTGACACAGTAGCTCTGCCAAGCAAGAGTTGTAATCAGTAGCCTCTTCGAAAAATCATTAAAATTAATGCTTATTTCCTTTTTTCTACTTTTTTTTTCCTCCTTCCCTCAGGAAATACTGTTGTGCTGAGGAAGAAAACAGCTCTCTCCTCCCTTTTTTTTTTTTTCCTCCTCCTTTCTTCTTCTTGCTCGATTCAGAAGCTCCAGGAATGTGCTAATTGGCGGCGGCCTCTTCAGAAAGGTAAGGGGTAATTGTTATCTGCTTTTCAAGGTGTTCTTGCCTTCTCTGCTCCTTCTGGAAGGGCAGGTGATGGAAAAGGTTTGTCTATGTGGAGTTTAGCCAAACTTATGGTTCATGTGGGTTGCCCTTCTAATACTGGAATGCAAATACAAGCTTTGTGCACTTCTTGCTCTACTGCTAAGTGTAGGATACTGTCCCTTGAGAAAAATCTAGGAGAGGACATGTATTTTAAATGCTTGCAGAGGAAAAAAAGTACAACTGTTGTACTGCAGACTGATTAATTAATCTTTGCCTATCAGCTTGGATGAAAAGACAGAGGTCTGGAGAAGACAAGCTGAAGAATCATAACTCAAAGTGATTCTCTTGTTACTACCACACATGTACTTCTGATTGGGCAAATATAGATAGGTTTAGTTGTTAAGTTGTATTGGTTAGTTTTTTAAATCTGATGTCTTCCCTGGGGTCTGTTATGGTTCTGTGGCTGGTTGTATCCCTGACAGATAAGACAGGAACTATCTGGAAGCCCAGCTCTAGTTCTGAATGGTGGAACACATGGCAAGTCTTTAACTATGCAGACTTCTTCCAGTTTTGGACAGAAGTTCAAAATGTGTGTGAGAGGAATTTAATTTTGTAGTTATGTGGTGGTAGGAAAATCCATGTCAGTTTGTGCTGGGGATATATAAAGTCTAAAAAATTAATTGCTGATTCATAGAGCATAGTGAGCAGCACAAGTAGACTCAAGTTTGTTGCTAGACAAATTGCATATGTATTTTAATATTAAAGATTTGTATTTGTTTAGGCGCTGCAGTGCTTTGAGATGTCATTTCCTCTTCCACCTTTGTGATAGATGTTAATGCTCTTTGTAGTGGAGGTAATGTCTTCTGTCTAGACCTCAGCCATTCTGGTTCAGAACTGACATCTTAATTTAGCACTGAGAAGGGATTTATGCTAACTTGCTAGATTCTGAATTGGAGAGGCTAGTGCATGAAAGAAGTTTTCCTGCTGGATTGCTCGATGGTGCTAACATTTGTGAAGGGTTTTGAAAGACAGTGAGAAGCAATAATGTCTTAAATTGCCCCAGCAAGATTTGTCAGAGTTCGTTTGTCAGTCCCTCACACTGACTAAGTACACTAACGTATCGAGGATAAGCTCCAGACAGGTAAGGTGCCTTGGGATGTTCTTTTTTTCATTTTCCATCTCATTCTTGCTAGTGCAGAGGCAAGCTAAGTCTTTATTGAACAGGCACAACCCGCTGTCTAGCTACTTTCTGCAATAAAGCTAATGATCTAATGGGCAAATGTTTCTTGGGGACCTTCAGCTGAAGCAGAGACAAGGAGAAACATACAGACCAGCTAAAGGGTTCTCAAGGAGTTTGCTATTTCCCCTGGGCTCCTTCTGTGTAATTACCTGTCTCTCTCTTTGTCTCCTATCTTTTAATGCAGGAGGAGTGTCAGACTCAGGGCCGCTAATCTTTGTTACTATGGAAAAGCTGGTTACACTCCTCTTCGTTCGCTTAAAAAATGGCAATCGTTGGTCCCCAACTGGTTCCCTGAATCTAACTTAAAAATGCATGATAGCTTTCCTCCTTGCTGCCAGACTAAAGAATGCAGCTGCCTGTGCTGTTGCAGGCAGGCATTGCTTCCACTGCTGATGCTGTGGCTTGCTGAGAAGAACCTGCAGGAGCTGCCTTGTGGCTTCTGAACCTGTTTTCTCCCAAACAAGCAAAGGCTCTAAAATTCCTTTGAAAAACAAAATTTTGGGGCACACTGAGATGTGGGAGGCTTGGCTGAGCTGCACATGTGAAAGATTCTGTAAGGATTCATAGCTCCAGCTGAGTTTTTGTACTGTTTCTGAATGCCTGCAAACTCCCTGGGTTGGGGACTGAGGGAAGATCTCTTTTGCAGGACTGTGGGCATCGCTTCTTGTTATTGTCTCCCTCCCAGCATATGTCATGTGCAGTGGAGCCAAGTGCCACTGCTCAGCTCAGTAGGATCAGCTTGAGAGGCTGTGCACAGACCACTGCTATTTCTCTGGCTGCATGCATCTGTTTGTCCCTCTTGCACAGTACTGGAAATTTGGAGGGGAATCCCTGCTGCTGCTCCTCTCCTCCTTTCCCTGCACATGCTTCCCGAGTTGCAACATGTCAGACAGATGATTCCTCTGAAGCCATGGCTTGGGAACAGCTCCAGCACAAAGGCCTTGTCTCTGTGTGCTCCTTTTCATCCTCGTGAGGAGAGGGAAACTGTCCTATGTTGGACAGGGTCCCTTTCTAGCTGCTGAGGCTTGCTCGCCCAGGAGGTGTGTGTTGCTGAGCCCCCTTTATGGTACCTTTGTAAAACATGCTTTAACTGTCTGCAAATGCATGGTGTTTAGGCAGCAGAGTCTGTATTATCAAATGCAGTCATGCAGACTGTAGTCCTCGGGGTGAAAAGCTCTGGGGGGAGAGGCTGGATGTGACCGTGGAATTTGAGAACCAAAGCAGGAGGAAATTCTTGCCCATGTCTTGGGCTAGAGCAGGTTCAGTAGAGGTGGAGGATGGGGAGCATATACTCCTTCTCAGTTTGGAAGTGTTAAAGGGGGCAGTCAGAAAGGAGAGAGAGGCAGGGCAGGGTCAAGGCAACAAAAGATCAGGCTGTCCACTGGGCCACAGTTGGCTGTTTTTTGCCTTTAATTCTATACTTTTCTCTGCCTGTTCCTCTTAATTAAATTTGGGCCAAGATAATTGTCAATTTTTTTGTTTGTTAAGAGAGGAACTCTGCCTCCATTCATATTTTTTCAGAAGTTATGTTTTGTATCAGTGCATCTGGAATGACTATTTTTTACTGATTTTTTTTTTAAGAACTTTTATTTCCCTCATAATTTCTACATTTTCCTTTTTTATTTGTATCAGCCTGAGCCATCTCCAAAGGAATGGTGATACTGCTACTAGATAACATTTCAGGTCAGTGACACTGTATGTTAAACACCATGTCTAAATAACTTAGCTGTCAGTTGGAACTTTGCCCTAATTGTATTTTTCTTTCCATTTATAAATCAAGTTCACAGCTCTTGAGCATTTGTAGAGCATTTCAACAAGGTGTTTGTTTCAGGTCTTTTGGTTTTTTTTCCCCCTCAAGTCCTTTGAGATCTTTGAGGTTAGTATTTCTCATTCAATAACTTTATTCACTAAAATGATGTGCCTGTCAAAGCTGTATTGCACCTTAGGAGAGGATGACAGGTTCTTCCAGAGTTCTCAATTTGCAAAGCCATAACCATCTCCCACTTTAAATCAGGACTTTGCCAATGCTTAAGGTCTTTAAACTACTTCATTAACTTAACAATAAGCCTGTACTCTCTTGCTTTTTACTAAAAGCTTTGATTTTTTTCAGAGTTTCATTTCATTAGTGTTTCAGGTATTCATTCTTTACTCTGATGTGGAGAAGACAAATCCCATAAATTTTACTGGAGAGGGGGAAATAACTTCTATCCCAGTAGTACATTTTTTCAGGTAATTTTTATGTTCAGAATCTGTTTACCATGTAGATTTAGAGAGCTAAATGATTGTTTTGTACCTCCAGGAAGATAGTTTTAAACATTTTTAGTGGTTTCAAGTGTACATGAAGTGGAGAGTTCAGAGCTGAAATTAACTTTGTAAACTGTAAATTTCTTTTTTCATACACAAGGTCTAAAAAGCATTAAGCAGAATGAAAATTTAGCATATCTAGGCAAAGGAAGATAGGTTGCAGCAGTAGTGATTTTGAATTTGCTACCATTTTCAGTTGCCTGAGTCAGCCCTTTTTTGAGGGCAAACTTTACAGGTTCACAGACATGAGTAGAGTTTTAGGAAGATGAGGTGAGAACACTGCAAGGAGGGCTTGTCTTGGGGCATCTCTGTGTATGGAGGGCTGCAAGGTCCTGTCCTGTGGTGTAGGCCCCCTGCCCTGTACTGTGGCTATAGCAATGACCATTCATTGTCCCTCATTAAAACCTTCCAGTCCTTAGTGCTAGCAGAGTAACTCTGGGTTGCTTGGCTTTACTGTGGTTTCAGCAGTTATGGTCTGCCTGCCTCACTTGTCCATAATGCAGCAGGGTTTTGGATATTCCTCGTGGTCACTGTGTTTCAGGTGTGAAGACCTACTTTTCACTACAGAACTGACTTTATTCTTTAGGAAAAAGTCCTGTATGGAGTAGCATGTTCCCTTGTGCTGAAGCCTCCTCTCTTCCCCTCTTCTACCACCCTGATGAACTTCAGTTGGATCATTGGTTGACTCCTCTTTTCATCCACACCCAGGGATTAAAGGGATGCTTCTGGAGGCCAGATGCCTGCTCACCATCATCCCTGGTGTGCAAGTGTTGCCCTGAGCATTGAGGTGGCTTCCTGTTCTCTCTGGAGCTTTGGAGGGCACTAGGAGGGACTCTGGCTCAAGTGGATTGTAGTAACTGCTGCAGAGCCCTGGCATGACCAGCTGCCAGTCTACAGGAAGGAGTTTGAGAGAGCATGTTGTGCCAGTCCATAATGCATGGCTGAGAGGAACAAAGTGTGTCACTTAGGTGTTAGTGTAGGTGGCAGATTTTGGTGTTTTACTTTGGTTTATATTTTCTGTTAGTCCTTCAAAAAGAAAGCTGCAAGGCCCAAGTCAGGCAATGAAGTCCTTGTTGAAATTAGCAATGAAAAAGACCTGGCTTGTTGCCTTACTTTCTTAAAAGTGATAACTGTCTTCTGCTAGGGGATGACCCATCTGGTTGCATATTGCTCCATCTTTCAGGTACACAAACATGCATGTGAGTTCTTTATTATAAGTTTCAATAATTTGGCCATTCCTAAAAAAAATAATAATGAACCCAAACCAGTACAATTTTCCATTCCTAAATCAAGTATTTTAAAGTATGAATCCAAAATCATGAGACGGTATTTCAAAATCATGTTTTCCAGCGGTTTTTGTCTCTTCTTCTCTGTTTGGCATACGTGTGGTTTTATGTGGTGCTGCCTAGGGTATTGTGAAGACAGGGTACTACTGGCAGCCCAGGCTGTGGTAGCAGAAGTCGTTCATCCTGTCTCATCCCTTTTGGGCTTAGCCCACAGGAGGACTCTTGTTCAGTTAGCCCAGTCATTACAGTAGAGAGCTGCCCTAATGTCTTGCCAGCTGCAGGACAGAAGATATTTCATCTTGGAAGCCTTGCAATAAAGAAATCTTGTCTAGAAAATTCTATGCAGATTTGAACTGGCCCAGTAAGCTTATACTGGTAAGTGCTTTGTAAAATGTGTCCTAAAACATTTTTATCTGGTGTTGATGGCCTTAAAAGCCAGATGAAGTGCATCAGTGACTCATGGTCAGTTACTGCCCTGCTGCATGATGTAAACCAGATCTTCCTTTGGTGCTTTCTCACATACAGCCTTTCAGGCTGGATGGTTAATTTCAAGCTTATGCTTATACCTAACCAAGCTATTTTCTTGAAAGAGATCTCTTAAATTGCTTGTGGCATAAATAAAAAGTTTCCAGTCATTCCCTTCCTATTCTTGATTAAATAGGAAATGAGATCTAAATGTTAGAATGACCCAGGAAGTTTTACTTCCACTTCTCCTCAACTTTTCCTTCAATTTCTCTGTCAAAATGTGGACTTGTTGCAATTTCAGGCCTAATGATTTTTTCAGTCCTCTTGTGGGCATTGTTGTGAAGGAGTGGAAACATAATATTTTAAAGAAGGAAAAGGGAAGGTGGTGTGTGGCTTTGGGTTTTCTTTATTTTTTCAAGTTTCCCAAATACATTTGGGTATTTCTGACAGTCATAATAAAATCAGTTGATTAGACAAGAAGGTTAGGTATATTAAGCAAAGCACTGTTTTCCAGCAAAATGAGCAGCTAGGTTATATTTCAGTCTTCAGATGCTTGGCTAAATAATGGTGACATACGTTTTTTGCTGCTAGAAATTTAGATTTTGGCGATCATATGCAACTGTGAAATCTGTAGGCATATACTGTAGCAGAAGCTGTCTTTATGCATATACAGCACATGGTATTTGGCTTGGGAGAAAGTTCTTAGCTCTCTAAGAAAGTGAGGTTTTTGATTGAACTGACTGCTGTTTGTGCTTTGTACTTAACATTTTTATTCTAGAAGGACAGATAAGTTTTATGTGTTAAAGGTACTGTTGTCTTGCCCCTGTTCCCAAGCAATGCAGTCCATTTCCCTTTCTTTTTTCCAAGTCGTGTCTTTCCAAGCTTGTGATTATAATTACAGTGAGAAGTAGATTACATACATCTGTATATTTCAGCAGAAAAAGTGAGCCTCGGAAGAATTTTGGACTGTGGGACATTTCCTTACCTCTGTCTTAAAAGTGTTTTGATATTCCCAAAGGGTTCTGGGAATGTCAAACTGATAAGACACTGGTGTGGGAAGGACAGAGAGTAGAAGGAAAAGGATGGAAGAAGTATGCAAGTGGTGGTTCACCAGTGTCACATTAATAGAATCCTTGAATCAAGTGCTCATTCATTTTAACTAGAGGCTAATTAATCAGAGTGAGTAGATAAAATGATAAGCTGCTTTTAATAAAGTGAAGCAGCTTTATTAGCAGTAAGCAAAATGCAAAATATTTGGTCTCTGGCACATGTGGTTTTCATGGGGACCGTGGTTTGCCACCAGCTCTGGATTGTGCTGGCCTTTTTTTTTGCTGCATTCTGCAGGCTGTGCTATGTGTTTCAGCATGTGGCCAATTCAGAATTCAGGAAATAGAGTCTAATCAAAAGCAGGTGTAACATTTTAAAACCAGAAGGAATGTTCCTTACAGATCTTTTTCTATGCCAGATTAGCATTTGCCAATTTTCAAACTTCGGATGCTATTATTTTGCTTTGGTGATAGCAGGCTTTATGCTTCCAAGCAGGCAAGCAGGAAAACAACAAGCTGTGCGGATTTACCAGAGTGTCGCTGTTTGAAGGGCAGCAGTATGATAGTGCTTGGTAACTGCTAACATAGCCTGAAACCAGTAAGTAATTATCCAGCCATTTACAACTTAAGAACAGAAATGTACTAGGCTGGTGCTACTTGTGTGTATAGTTAAGTAGAGGGCTAAATGCAGTGTGCCACTGTTAAACTGGAGCAGGCTTGCATACTCTTGTTTCAGATGATTTTCTGTAGTGCCTCTGTGCCATTGTGGTGTTCCCCAGTGTCTCTCTTGAAAAGCTGTAGAAGCCATTCGAGGGATTATGATGTGTATGGCAGTGCAAGGCTATAATAGGAAATACATAAGTGAGTCACAGATTAAGATAATGACGTAATTTACATTGGACTGAATTACATTAAGTGCCCACATTTAGGTTCGAAATGAACTTCACTATGTATATCCTTGTTGAAGTAAGCTAAAATTAGTAATTTATTCATTGAAGTCACCTCACAGTAAACTTAGAAACTAGTGGTTCGATAAGATTCCTGTAATTGTGAGCTGGAGAAGTTGAGCTAGTAGGTGAATGTGATTTGCGAATAGGGTGCTGGCAAGGAAATTGTCTTCCCCCCCACCGGCCTTTCCTTAAAAGACTTTGCTTCCCAGAGCCATTCAAGTGTAAATCCTTGTGCAACAAAGGGGAGGCTGGCAGCTCCACCGGTTCAACAGTATAAGCGATCTCTCATGCTTCAGTTGAAAGGCTGAATCCCTGAAACGCAGAATGCTGCTATAGAGGGAAACTCTCAAAAGGCTGCTGAGAATGGCGGGGTGGGAGGGAGCACAGGGTTGGAAAGCTGTTTGGATCCTTGAAAGTGCAGTGACAATTTTTGTCTTTGCTGTAAAATGACCTGGAGGCAGCTGGACAAAGGGAAAGGCTGCTGTTCAGGTGATGTTGCCATCACCACTCTAGGAGCTGGATTTTACTTGTTCTCTCCCTTAAGGAGCACAGCATGCTGCTCTACTTGCCAGCACTGTATGTGGTGCCAATATTTTGTCTACAGTGTGCATTGAGTCCCTCTTAGTTTTCCT